AGTTGGGGAGGGCAGGGACAGTTGGGGAGGGCAGGTTGGCCGAGGAGGGCACTGCAAAGCCCAAGGAAGGCGGAGGTAAACAGGCAGCAAAGGAAATCCGAACAGAAAATTCAGAAAACTTGGCTTAAAGGAGTGCCTGGGGCCTGAAGGCAAGTTAAGACACTGGGGGAGGGGAGCAAAGTAGGAACAAAACCGTGAATTGGGAATCAGTGAGAGCAGTGTGGTGCTGGGAGGAGGCAGCTCTCCAGCTGCCAAGGCGAGCAAGCTCCTACTTATCTTGCCATGTTGACTAGAGAAACAGACTTCAAATGACGCAGTGTCTATAAACAGAGAGGAAGAATTAGTTCCCATTCTGGTAGTTGTGTCTGTGACCCTAAAACGCTTACCCCCCCCCCCCCAACTAGGAATTCAGTTCCTGAGGGCACTGACAGTGTTATCACTGAGCTGATACGAGGAGGAGCGGGAGGCAAGGAGGAACAAGCACTTGGTTATTAGGGCAGAAACTTGGTACAGCGATTACAAATGTCGCCCAAAAGCCGGACATGCCACTCCTCCCCAAAATGTAGAACGTGTGAATCAGGAGTCAAGTGCAGGGTAAACAGACTAAGTAGAAATGCTTTCTTGTTAGGTGTGAATTTCATTCAAAAGTAAACAAAAAAATCACAGATTGTGCCGTTTCAATCACGCTGATGGAGCAGGACAGTTACTTTGATGTGGTGTTCCACTGTGTTCATTTTTGTTAAAAGATGTATCAGAAAAGCCTTGTTCACATGCTGATTTGCCTCTTCAAACAGCTCTGCTGCTTCCTCCATAACGCTTTCTCTTTCTGGTCTTTTTCTTGCCGGTCTGAATAATTAGTTCTCTGGGGAGAGCAAGTCTTTTCTTGCTTACTAGTATTGGAACAGGGAATATCTGAACTAATCCCATGGTACCCCCGATAATGCTCCTTTTGACATATCGGAGATCCTTTATGGAGCATTATGTGACCCCTCCTGTAGACAAATACATGTCAGATGTGCCATGTGAGACATTTACAAGCTCCAGCTAGGTCCATTTATGTTTATCACTCAACGGAGCAGGACTTCCACAGGGGTATCTCCGTAGCAATCCCGTTTGATAAGCTGCTGTGTAGAGAGCAGAATGCCAATGTGGACGAGAGCTCCGTACTCCTGCCTGGGTGGCCATAACAGATGGTCTATAGTGGAACTTCAGCCACACAAAATAACGTGAAGTGGCACGAATCTGAGTCACTGGTACAAAAATCTCTGTTTTGGAGGACTCTTGACTGCTGTTCTGACTGGGTGCTAAAAAGCACAGTGCCGAACTGGCAAGGAGCTAGCCCTGAAAATTCCTCTCCTGCCATTTTTTAAAAAGCCCTTTTGTAGGGGAGTAAGGCAATGCCACTTATGAAAAGGATAGGCTTGTCTTGTACCTTTGACAGCAGTGAAGAAACACTGATCAAAAGAACTTATTATTGCTTGTAAATCTCCAGGAAGGGCTGCAGGTACTGACTGTGCCTATATTTTCATATATATGCCCACACACTTGTATGGGAGATGTTGGTCATGTGAACTTTATCTGATGAAAGTCAATTTTTATTCTTGCAAATTGGTATTTATACAAACACATATATAAACATATACAGATACACATCTATGTAAAACACCTGTAGTACTTAGTTCTTCTCCATCTCTGCTTGGAATTCACTTATCCATTTTTTTTAAAGTAACAATTTTTACAAAATGCAGACTAAACAGAGAATAGGAGAAGGACAAGTGCCCCTTCAAAATACCAGCAGTTTTACATTCATATCTTATATCATGCTCTTAAATCTTCTCACAGATGAGGACTTCACAGATTAAAGGAGGAAAAAGAAAGCGATCTGGAAATAAGTGGGAAGCCTACTCTGCAAAATCTGATGGCCAAGCGAAACAGAAAAGGTAAGATTTCTGTTTATTCACTGATAAAGCCTGTATTTGTCTTGAATTGTTACCATCCAAACATCACCTGATATAAAACACATCATAAAAATCTTCACACAATCCAAATGGACCAAATATACCACATGATGACCATCTAAGAAATAAACTAGCTGAATGCATTATTTACCAGCTCGTTCAGCTGTACTGAAGAACTAATTCGATAGCTGTTATACAAAGGCAGAAGGAGGAGTAAAAACCTCTGTGTGCACAGGACTTGGACAGGAGTGTTGGTTTTTATCCCTTCTATGGCACTTATTTTAATAGTTACCTACATCACAGGCTTCAATTTTAGATTTTTAGTGTTTTACAAAGATGGATTTCTTCTCATACTGGGAAGACTGAAGTAATAATAATAAATATATAAAATGACTTGCTCAACTGCACCTAAAGTGCCAGTGTAGCCATCAGGCTGTGCTAGAACTTCCCTTCTGCAGAGTATGCTGGCAATAACTTTCTGAGCTGCTCACTGCACTGTTCAGATCAAAAGCAGCACACAGGACAGTGACCAAAACTGAGAATGAAAGTATGTCACTGACAAACACAACTAACAGAATTAAGTACATATAACAGCAAAACATGTTTTGTCCCTCGCTGATGGGAAGCTACACTGTTTCTATCATATTTTACCTTATATTGGTATAACACCACCCTCTCCTTGACCTACATTCTTTGTTATCAATCCTTGCTTACAGTTACATTATTTTAGCTGCTTTAGTTTAAGTGAATTTAAAGTTTAAAATATTTACAAATATGTACAAATCTCTCTTCTAAATTTAGTTACACAACCTTTCCGTAACCGTGGCACAGTTCAATCTAAGTTTTGCTTTTTCAAATACAATTCTTGCGAGAAATGCAGTCAATTTACAAAGGATGACAAATTCTACAGTTTTCTGACTTAACTTCATGTGGAATTTTATTTCAAAATGTGTTTTGACTGCTTGATTATCCAGCAATAAAAATGAGGGCATAGCATTAGGGCTGCTGCAGGAAGTAATTTCTCAAGTAGCATTACTGTCTACTTGAGGGAGAAATAACTGGCTTGGTAGGTCAGCAGAAATGGATGCGGGGGTAAGACAGGTCAGCAAGATTGTGGATAGATCAGACTGACTCCAAAGTATTTGTATTGGCACATGTACACAGGAATGTGGTCTGTGACAAGCAGGACAGCAGATGTTGAGGCCTCAACTGTAGCAGTGTCCAGTCTTGGGTGCTACAGTTCAAAAAAAGATGTAAATGATTTTGAGACAACACAGAGCCAAGAGATAAGCACTTTAAGAGGTTTGAAACTGTGTTACACAATGAATGATTGAAATGAACTGAAAACACTTTGTCTATGGGTAAAAAAATTTAGGGGAGGCCTATTTCTTAACATATGAAGAGGGATTTTGAGAGATGAGAGGCAAAACTGCTCACATCCATTAGTTATACTTCAGTAGCCATGAGCTTTTAACTAGTGTTCCAGGTTCCTCAATGTGAACTAGACCAGGGAACTTAGCTGCCTGAAAATTAGCAATTTTGAAAGTAGTTTGACAACAGTTTACATCACTTTAAATTGAGTCTGACACAGTCCCACGCCCTCCGTTATGCCAAAAGCTGAGTCAAGAAGCTGAGTGGGACAACAACAAGGTATCCTTCGCAGGATTAGTAATGTTGAGAGGGTTCTGTACCTGCAGTAAAAGGAGGGATGTGACTGATCCACCAAAGCAACCAGCTCTCAAACTACTCTTGAGCTCATTTCCTAAAAAAAAAAAAAAACAAAACTGTACCTCAGAGGGATTTGGTGATATCAATGCAGGAGGGCTGCTGCTCATATAAGTCACCTTTTTTTTTCTGTCAGAAATATAGGAGAAACAGTGGAGAGTGTTTTCAAACGTAATAGCCATATTAACACTATTACAGAATCACAGAATCAATTACACTGGAAAAGAACCTCTGAAATCATCCTCTGAGTCCAATCTATGACCCAACACCACCGTGTTAACATCACCTGAGTGCCAGGTCCAGTCTTTCCTTAAACACCTCCAGGGATGGTGACTCTACCATCGCCTTGGGCAGCCCATTCCAATGTCTAATCACCCCTTCTGTGAAGAAATGCTTCCTAATGTCCAACCTAAACCTCACCTGGTGCAGCTTAAGACTCTCCTCTTGTCCTGTCACTTGTTACCTGTCAACTCTCACCTGGCTACATCCTCCTTTCAAGGAGTTGTAGAGAGCAATAAGGTTCCCCCTGAGCCTCCTTTTCTCCAGGCTTAACAACCCCAGTTTAACAACCTCAGCCGCTCCCCAAAGACATGTTCTCCAGTCCCTTCACCAGCTCCATTGCCCTATAGCCGTTTGCTGTATTTTGGGGAAAACAAACAAACAAACTAACCAGGACCCAAAACAAAACCATCAAACACCAAAGCCATCGCGTAGATAAGTTTAAACAAAAATTTATGACATTTAACCATACTATCTACAAGCAGCCGTTGTGCTGGTCTCTGGTTCCAAGTATATAAAAATACACTTAAGGGGGGAAAAAAAATAAAAAAGGGTGGTGCAGACAGCGATCACACACTGGGCTAAGAAACCCAAGGGGGCAGAGAGGAGAGGGAGGCTGCAGCCGCTGCTTCCCAGTGCGGACAAAGAGGGAATTGCGGCCGTGCCCGCAGCGGGTCCCTCCGGCCGGACCCGGGGCGGCCCCTCGCCCGCTGCCCTCCCCGGGAAGGGGCTCTGCGCCCCGCGAGGGGCTCCGACGGGGGGCTTTACCTCAGCCTTAGCGGGGTTTTCCCTCAGCAGCGCCGGGTTTTACCGCTCAGCCGAGGGGGCCCCGCCGCTCCCCCGGGCGAAGGATGCGAGGGACCCGCGGGATGCGGCGGATCCGCGGGGCTGCGGGAGCGGCGGGGCCGCGCCGCTGCCGGGGGAGGGGGCGGCCCTTTCCCGGCGGTCCCGGCGGCCAAGGCGGCTCCGGGCGCCACTGAGGCGGCGCGTCCCGGCGGCGGCTCCGGTGGGCGGTCGGGGGCGGTCCGCGGTCGGGGGGCGGTGGCAGCAGCGCGCTCGGTTGTGAGCGAGCGAGTGTGTGCGAGCGAGTGCCATGGCCGGAGCCCGCTGAGAGCCACAATAGGACCGCGACCCCGACGCCCACCGGGACCCTCCACTCGCTCTTCTTCCCCCGCGCCAGCGCCGCCGGCGGAACCCGCGCTCCCCGCCCTGCCCGGCACTGCCCCCCCCTCTCCGCGCCCGCCGCTCCCCCTCGGCTCGACTCGGCTCGGCTGTGCTCGGCGGCTCCCCCCCCCACACCACCCCGCCTCGCAGGGCCCTTCTCCGGGAATGTGAAGAGGCAGCGGCACCGCAGGCAGCGGGGAGTGCACGGGACTGAGCGGAGCCGCCCGCGCCTGAACCCGCCGCCGACGCCGCCCTGCGCCGGGGAGGCCCCGCCGCTGCCGAGGCCGAGGCCTACAGGGCTCCTGCGCCGCCGCGGCAGCGACCGAGCCCGGCGAGAACCGCACTCGGGCCGCCGCCGCCGCCGCCAGGCATCGGCCGCGCTCCGCCAAGGCCGCCGCCGCCTCCCTCCGTCTCCGGCTTCTCTACCCAGGAGCGTCAAGGTAACTCCATGGCCGGCCCGGCGGTGCGGGAGGAGGGCTGCGGGAGGACATGTTCCAGCTGCGGAGATCCCGTCTGGAAATGACAGCCGGGAGCGGATAATTGCGCCTCTGCTCCCTTTTCCCCGCCGATATCCGTCGGTATTTTCGCGTCTTCCACCATCCCCCCCTTCCCCGGGGCTGAGGGATCTGATGAGCGTGGCTTCGTATTTACCAAAATACTCGGGGAATAAAGCGGAGGAAGCGGGGAGCGGGTGGCCGGGTTTGCAGCTTTTCCCCCTCGCACACAATAAATAATCTCGGGCTTTATTCCCCCCCTCCTCCCTCCTCCCCCCCCCGACTCTTGGTGGAAACAGAGTATTTCCCTGTGATAGTGTATGCAGGGCAGCGAATGTTCATTTGGGGAGACGAAAAGAAAGATCAGTGTTTACTGTAACGTTGTTAGGCTGGATGGAGTCTTGTTGAATTAGAATTAGATTTTAATAATTTATAAAGCAGGTTAGGGAAACTGTTACTAAATTTACAGCGGGGAAGTGTCTGTAAAGCTCCTTGCTGACACAATGATCCTGCAGTTTAAGTGATCTACTTTAGTCCCTGTCCATTATTATTATTTCTTTTTTTTTTTTTTTTGTAATTTAATTTGGAGGGAGCGTGCAAACATTTCTGCAGGGATGGTTACACTTTAATGATGCACGTGATGAGGAGGGGAAGCTTTCTGATGAGATGAAATAGGGCCAAACCGATTCAGGTTTAGGGAATATATTTTTTGCTGATATTTCCAGAATTTGGTTTATGTAACAGGTAACTTCGTGTTTGTATGTTTTTTGGCGGACTGTTGAAATCTTAGAAGTGGGTTACTAAAGTACAGGCCATTCTATTTCAGTTTATCTGACTTTTTTATTTATTAATCTTGGCTGGGGCCTGAATACCCTGGTGATGGTGGCATTTTTTTTTTTCCTCCCAGATGATAAACAAGACCAGTTTAAGGTACGGGTTCATGTTGCTGATAGTATATTATATTTAGAAAGCCTGAGCTGGTAGTGAGAGAATACCTCAGGAGAAATCAAAAAGATGGAATGAGATTTTTTTCATTATTGTAATGCCAGCTGCACAGTTCACCTTCTGAGTGCTGCACATGCTTCCTCGAAGAAGCTATGGAGTTTATACTCCCATTTTTGATAGATTTAGTGCACCTATATGTGATTCTGCATTAAACAGTTCTTATCTTTCGGAGCTTGTTTACACTGTTGCAACAAATCATGCTTTCGAAAGCTTTTCTTACAAAAGACAAACCCAAATAATGTCTGTTTCAGGGGATTTAGTAATTTATGAAGCCTATGAGTAATCAAATATTTTAATAAAAATAAGTACTCGAAAGTGTTCTCTGTGTCGTGGAATCAACTTCTTGTGGCAAAGGAGTCACTTTGGTAATTGAAGTCAACAGACATTGAGGATGAGTAATGCTTTCCAAGGACATGTTCTAAGACCCTGATCCTGCAAATGCTTACGCCCGATGCTTAACTTTGCACGAGTGTGTGGCCTGGCTGAAATCAACGGAGCTGCTCTCGCTAATGATCGTGTCATTAATGCAGATGGGGCTGCTGATTTCAGGGGAGCTGCACACGCTGGCGAAGTTAACTGTGCACAGAGCTGCTTGAAACATGTAGGCCTGAATTCCTCCTGTCTCGTTTCTGTTGAGTATTGCTCACGTATTTCATCAAGATCTGATGAGCCTTTATAACACGCAGGACAAGACTGGTAAATACAATAGGTGAATGCATTAATTCACTGTTTAAATGTTTCCTAGTAGTATGGAATCAGCTACAGGAGTACTACCAAGGCTGGTTTTATAGGAAGATGCAGTGCTTATTGCTTACACCAGCTGAAGTTGGGAAACAAACAAACTTTTGCTTGCAGAAGCCTTTTTTGGCTCTCTGCCTCTCCCTGCAAACCTTGTCTGGCTTGTGCCCTTAGAACAGTTACAGCTACCACACTGCTGGTCCTACAGAAATGCCAGAACGTGGAATAACTACGTGTAAAGAGACTCACAGGAAAGTAACTGAGTATTTCTAAAATGGAGAATAAAGCAGCATTATGTAGAATTTGTCAGTGCTAGCGAAATTGTGAAGTATAACAGTGCTTTCTGCTATACCTTCTTACATTTCTATAAAATCTGGTATGCAGGTATGGTAAGCAAATGGAATTTTTCTGCTGTCCTATTTTTTTTTGGTCATGCATATTGGTGACTTGAATGCCAAAAAAACATTTGTACCTTTTTGTGTGCCCATTCTTTAGCATACATGGTCCCTTGCAGAGTGAGTTGAAATTACTTCATCCCAAAGAATACATAGTTTAAAGCATAGTTAAAGCACAATCCTATGTCAGGTCTACAGGTGTATGAATTCTGTTGACGTAATGATGTCAGCATTAGGTCTGAATTTTTCCCGTTGCAGGATTTTTGGCAAATGGGAGACACAGATAAAAAAGTGAGCAAGAGGAATTATTGCATTAACGATTAAGCTCCATTAAGTTTATTCCATACAATGTGTAAATGTATCAGTGGGCTAAATCTCTTAACAGTTTATGTGGGTGAGTTGTCAACAGGAGAGTGGTGCAGAAAGAAGATATTTGGGAAGTTTAGGCTAATCTTTACCCATTTCACTCGTTTGGAATATATTTGTAACCTTTGTTTTCCTTCAGTAGGGATATGTCCTCAGCACCAACTACTCCTCCATCAGTGGATAAAGTAGACGGATTTTCTCGGAAGTCCGTCAGAAAAGCCAGACAGAAGAGGTCACAAAGCTCCTCCCAGTTTAGGTCTCAGGGCAAGCCTATCGAGTTAACTCCCCTGCCTCTGCTAAAAGGTAAGACCACATATGGGTTTTAATAAATAAAACAATTTTACCCTACAGCCAGCTTCTGAACTCAAAGTATGCTATTGTAAAAAATTGCAGGGAAGTTTTGCCAGCACTGAGAAATGTTTCATGCCAGAAATACATGTATTTAAGCTTTACAGAATATTTTATCTGTGAGTTGAGGGCGTGGTAATTGTTTGCAATACTTCTGAAAGTTTTAAATGCTGATGTTAACTTGTACCATGCCTTGAATTGTCAAGGCACTCAGGCTGTGTGTGAGTGTTTTAGTTTGTGAATCCTCAGCAGTTGACACTAATGAGAGGTGATTTTGGAAAGGGTAAATGGACTTGTGAGCAGAAAGAAACTGGTTTTAAGCATCTTTCCTTGACGTGTGGATCTGTAACCTGTGACAGTGGTGCCAACTGCAGCCCACAGGGGTATTTTGATTGTCCTACAGCAAGTGAGGAGGTGGGACCCCCTCTCATACCAGTTGTGGATGGATAGCTCCCAGCTCCTGGCTTCTGCTGGGTTTTGAAATCAAAAGGTCCCATGAGCTGCAGCCTCTCAAGGGGAAAGATGCTGCCAGTCTGGTCTTAGGCAAGACCCTACTGTTTTGAGATCCTGCATATCCCAGCTGGAGCTGAATTTCTGCTGGCAGATTTAACCTCTGATTTGAGAAAGAAAATTATGATCCAGCATACTGCTCTTTAAAGAGCACCAGTATCTCTGTGATATCTTGAATGCTTCCCCTAAATTCCTGCTATCACCAAATTTCAGTACAAATCCAGGGGCCAAAATCAGAATTAATGTCTGTCTGGTGAGGAAGGGGAAATACCTTTTCAGAAGTCTTCAACATTGAATTCTCAAGCAGTTTATTTAGTTCTGTGGATTTTTTTTTTTTAATGGCTGTTCTTCCTTTCTGCCATAAGTAGTGAAAATAAGCATGGTTGGTGCTGATAATTCTGGAAAATAACACGTTTAATAGGTTTAATATTATGTCTGTGCCTTTTTTTGCTTTGTGGGCACGTGTATTTCCCACATTCCCTCATCTACCTGTTTGACAAATTTGTTAATCAGAGTATTTAAATATGTAATAAATGCGTGACTGCACTTTGGTTTAGTTCTTAACCCCACTTCTTCAAAAGAAGATAGAAGTTGCAAAATAAAACCAAACCTGAAACCAACACCCACAAACACACTTATACCTTAATGTGTGTTTTTTATTTTAATTAAAAGTTGGATTCTGGGATTAGTTCTAGTGGAGTTATCCTTGAAATATTGTGGGCTTCTTCCTGTGGGCTCTCTGTAAGAATGCACGAATGGCCATCCTGGGTCACAGGAAAGGTCCATCCAACCTCCTGCACTGGGCCTGATGGTGACTGGCTTGGATTCAGTATTCCTCAGTTCAGGGTTGCTTGGTGCCAGTGGATTTGATTTAGTAGTCTGCAATGAATATTATTTGTGATTCTTTGGGTGGTCCTGTGCAGGGCCAGGAGTTGGACTTTGAAGATCCTTGTGGGTTCCTTCCAGCTCAGGATATTCCATGATTATAAGAAATTTACTTGTTGTTTTGTGACGGTACCATAAAGAAGCAGGTGCTTCTTCAAAATAATTTTAAAGCCCAGTTTCACACTTTTCCAGGTAATTTTCGATATGCAGGTTACTTCATACCAGTTGCTGCACCTCAGAAGTCGGTGGGAGCTTATCCTTTGGCTTAAAGGATGGGATTATTTGAAAACATCAATATCGGTGTTTGTATAAATGAAGAAATTGATGTTATAACGATGTCATTCTATTTTGTTGTCCCATTCAGGGAGCAAACAAGGCATGGGCACGAGCACAGGGAAAAATCAGCGTGTGTCTGAGGGCCTGGCCCTGCAGAAACACGGGCACATGCAGGTGTTTAATTCGACTACTGCAGCCAGACCCGTGGATTGAGATATAAAACTATAATAAGATAAAACAAACAGATGGGGAGCAGAGGGTGTTGGTGAGATATTTATGATTAGTGTCATAATGAGTTACAGTGGTCCAGCTTCAAATTAAGAATCTGATCCTGTGAGTTAGTTTTCCCTCTTTGCCTTAATGCGGATTCCCAGAGGCACAGGGATCTACCTGTGCAGATTAATTTGTGGGATTTGGGTCTAACAGTCTATGAGAAACAACAGCAGTGGTATTGGTCCCTACTGAAGGGACACTGGCAGCTAAAATCATGCTGCTGTTTGGAAATATTCTTGACCTACATTAATATTTGTAACAGTCAGGATTAGTAAACTTGAAATAAATGAGGAAACTATTTTATCCTGCGTTTTTCATACTTTACTTGGCCAATTGGATGGAAGTCCTGATTTATTTGTTTTTATACCTCTTAGGTTTATACTTGCCTTCAAACAAGTGACCAGTCCTATTCTCTCCAGTAACCATATGATTTCCAGTTTTATCCTTACTGTTCTGTCTTCTAAACCAAAATAGAGAAGAGTTTTCAGCAAAATAGCTGAAAAACAAAACTTAGTTTGGACAACTACAGTTGCTAAGCTTAAGCTTCCTGGTTTGGGTAAATTTCGAGTTTAATTAAACCTCTTCAGAAATGTTTCATTACAGGAAATTTTTAGAGGACAGACCTCGAATTCATATTCATCAGATGTATTTCATATTCATGATGGAGAGGTTTTGCTGACAAAAACATATATGCTGTGCACCCTTCTATGTTTTATTTTATGACTCTATTGCATATTGACATTGGCAGGCTGCCTTATCTCAAACAGCACTTCACGGACCTCAATATCTTCTCTGATTACAAGAATCATGTCTGCAGAAAACTGGATAACTGCTTGGTCCATTCTTTGCAAGTTTTTATACTCTGCCTGTCACCATAATGATTTGAGCACCTTCCAGTAGTGTATTAAGTGACGTGACTACACATCTGTCACATCTTATCCGCTCTCATTCCTTTCCCTGGGGACAGAGTCACATATAGTGAAATGGCTTGTTTTGGTAGTGTTTTAATGCAGTCTGTTGCCTTCTGTGAACATACATGCCTGAATTGCAAAAACAGATAAGGCAGTGTTGTTGTTCATTTGGTAATAAAAATGTTTCAGGAAAGAAAAGTAGAAGAGAATGGTATGTTTTGATGCTGTGTGCAAGTCCGAAGGATAAGCTGCTATTTAGGAAATGTAATAAGAACAACTGGAGTTTTCAGTATTGCTTATTCCAGGAAAAAAAAATATGCAGAAATGAAGTTGTTACTTTTTTTTTTTTTAAAGTGTGTGTATGGTATCACTTTGTAAATAAACATTTAATGTGTTTAGAAAATAAGATGTGCCTTCTGAGGCTGTGTTGGGCTGAGTTTAGACTTTCAAAAGCCCCAAGCCAAAAAGCTGCTCTGTCTGCCTGCCATAAGGACTTAACTTTTCTGAAAATTTAATTATATTTTTATTTATTGTGTTGTGACTAGATCTAATTCGGAGTTACCTTTTTTAATACAACTATTGTCCAGTATAACACTTTAAACCCAGAGTTTTCTCCTTTGTTTCAAGTGTGAGGGAATGGGATGGGAAGTGCAAACTGAAGTTGTGATACAGTTGCTTTTTGCATAGGTGTACCCTCATGTGTGTTTCTCACATGCATTTTTTGATGTTTGCATGCTTTTCCCTGATGCATCTGCAGTGCATTATGGATTTTGGCTTTACTTCTGAAAAGGCTGATGGTTTCATCAAGCCTGGCAGGTGCCTTAGGTCAGTGGCAGGGCAGTCCTTGTGAAGGGCCTTTTTTAGGGATTGAGTACTTCCACCTCTGTGCTTTAGTGAAATCCCTCCCAAGTTTGTTGTGTGCCTGAAATCGGGCTTGTTCTATGCATTGGTGGGTGTATTATTTATTAGGAGGGTGTATTATTTATTGGAGGGCTATTTTACTTTCATTTTGTGTAGCTGCTCTTTTTACTTAGAAGTCTCTAGAGGTAGATCAACAGCAGTGCAATGTTAGAAAGCATTTGGTTGGAAAAAAAGTGTATTGTAGTGCTGGACATGTGAAAACAGATCAATCTCAGTATTTACCTCTAGAAGGAGAAGTTAATTTGAGTTTCTACCCGTGTCTGTTGTGATAGGGGAGTGTGCAGAGGATGAAGACGTACATACAGATGATTAAAAACATCATATGCCTTATGAATACACGTTTAGCATCTTGAGAAACTGGACAGAAAGCTCTCATGTAACTCACAGTATTGTTCCCACCCCCCTCGCTCTCATTACAAATACAGAAGTTGGGTTAAGTAAAACCATCCAAAAGTAAGACTGTTAAATTTTAAGCAATTTGTATCTCATTTTTGTAATTTCAAGGCGTGCTTTTTTTCCTCCCTCTCATTCTTCCATGTTTTGCAGTGATCCAATATGGTTAGGGTAGCTTCATTTCGTGTTCTCTGCAACTGTTGCATACTTCCGTTGAATACAGCTCAAAGTATGATTTTTATTTTTAGATAATTTTTCTCCTTAAAATAGGTGCTTAGAGCAGTTCTCTGTCAACAATACCAATTGCTTTGCTACCTCAATATTATGAAATTTGTTGAGCTTCTAATACATTTATCAGATAGTTTCCATGGCATTAAAGAATTGGTGTAGTGGCAACAAAAGAGCATTGCATAGTCGAAAAGGGAAAATCTCTTTCCACTTGCTATTTGCTTTTGATCATTATATTATTTCCCTATAGCTGAGATTTTATCATAAGCTTTTCTTATGAATGCTATCTATAGGTCAAACGCTGAAGTTCCTAAATGGTAAAAAATCCTAACAATTCCAAAAGACTTCTGACTGAGAACTGCGAGATGTGCACCTTCTTGTTCAAATACAAGTTTCTTTTGGATTTTTAGAAGACCCCCTTATCATAAGAAAGTCTGGCTTTTTCAGACTTATGGATGCCACCTGAAACTCTTCATGTTGGAAATAGGTATGATTTGAGTTGTAGAAGAAGAGAGATAGAGCTTCTGTTTTCTGTTGACTTTTATGGGGGCTGCCTGC